ACCCAGATTCATACAGGGCTTGGCCCGTTTGGCCCAGCCCAAGCAAACCAGGAAAACCAGGTCATGCTCACTCGGATATCTAGACGGGTCTTATTTGCTCAACCCGGTTCTTCTACAGCAATTACAGAATTCCAGAATTACCGAATCATTTCAACAAGAAATTGTAAGCTTCTTACCTCTAGTTTTCTTGAAATTTCCTCTCCTTCAAAACTCAAAATGAAGAATCGGCGGACCTCAATCGATTTACTCCCTCCAATTTGCTCCGATTAGTTGATTTAAACCAACACCCAATGGAATCTGATAGATCGACTGTCGGATTTCTATCCCCAAATTCCAACACTCTGTAACTTTGGTTTCAAAATTGTTTTGAGACTTTTATAATTCTTCCAACGATCGGTCAGCTTTATAAAAAAAAATGAATCATTTGATTGAGGAGATCTCGAATCTGGAAGTTCTCCATTCGTGGTTTCGTGGATCCGGACGTCTCGGATGTTCGGATCATGGCTGGATTTTTTTTAAAAAAATAATTTATGCTGGGGTTTTACAGAAAATTAAGTTCTTTATACATTAATTTAATGAAAACTTAACTCTTTTTTGATTAAAAATGTTTGATTAATTTTCATAATAAATTAAAATTATTATTTTTACCACTTAAAAACACGCACCAAATTTTCAATTGACTCCTTGAGAGTTCTATTTTTCTTTTGAAACTTCTAAATAAATTTTAATAAATTATGGATCCATCTCATAAAAAAAGGCCCAAACTTCCCCTTAATTTATTTGTTATTCATGCACATCATAATATCTTCATTTTAACCTTTAATTTTTAATTTTTAGGGCAAAAATGATTCTCCTCCTCTTAAACTTCTTTATATATCTTGTTTATTCTCGTAAACTTTACAATTTATCATTATACCCTTCGACGCTAAATTTCCCCATTTTAAATACTAAATATTTTAAATATTATTATTAAAGTAGTTAATTTTTTAAATTTTAAGTTAATGTGTTACAATCAATAATAAATGTTATTGAATATATTTAATTTTTGATATTAAATTAAAATACGATTAAATTTTATAAAATTAATTTAGATTATTTATGTAATATAACTAAATAAAAAATTACCAATAGTGAATAAATAATTTGAATTTAGCAGAAATTATTAAAGAATGTAATTAAATCTAAATTATTTATATATAATTTCTACTAAATTCAAATTATTTATTCATAATTAATAATTTTTTATTTAGTTAGTTACTGAAATATTTTCAACTAATATTTAAAAGTAAATATATTTAATAATATTTATTCTCAATATAATATATATTAACTTAATTTTTTAAAATTTTAACAAGTAACTATTCTAATAATAATATTTAAAATATTTAATATTAATATTAAAAAATTAAAAAATAAATATACCAATAAACTAATGATGTTTGTGCTCAAAAGAGTAAATTAGATATTATAAAATTTAAAAAATAAATGATTTTTACCCTAATTTTTATGTATGTATTTAATATTTCACTATATGATATTTGTATTAGGGGGCGTTTAGATGGGGGGATAGGATATAGGATGATAAAGATATAATTAGATAAATTTATCAGGGGATAAATTTTATCATATGTTTGGTTTAACAGATAATAAATGAGATAAAATTTTTGAAAAGTAGGATAAAATTGAGAATTACCAAAAAGCCCTCAGATGTAAAAAAAAAACTTTCCCATTTCTCATCATCCTCCCTCTGCCATCGGATTGCCATCTGTGTCGTCTTCCCTTTGCCATCGGTTCAACCAGGTATCATCGGGCCACGAGCGTTGTCCTTTCAGCCGTCGTCGAAGCTCTGCGTCATCATCAGCGGTTGGATCGTCGTCCTTTCAGCAGGATTAGCTTACGTTGTATGCCCAGTCGTCATCATCGTCCTCACTTTGCCACTTATTGTCATCCTCCCTCGTCGGGTTTGTGAGCGTCGGCGAGTGTCGTTGTCGTCCTCCCTCTGCATTGTTGTCGATGCCCAGTTGTCATCTAGTGGCCCGATAACAACTGGTTGAACCAAATCAATCAACCAAAACTTCAAGCAGTCAAAACTTCAAGCAGATATGAAACAGTGCTCGTTGTCATCGTCGGAAGTAGAGCCCAAACTGCAGCAGGAAATCGGCGGGAAGAGATCGACTGGTTTCATTTGTAATTCGAACGGGAGAGAGTGATAGTATTTTCGGCATTGTACAAGGGCATTTCTATCCGAAAATAAAATTTTTACACGCTGATAAACTTTATCCAACCCGGTTGCCTAGATAACCTATCTTACACTCACTGATATATATCCTTTCTCCTGAGTTGTTACATGCGAAGCGAATGTGTGATAAGTCAGGATAAATTTATCTTATCTTACTTTATCATACCAATCGAAACAGCCCTTAGGGCTGTTCGGTTGGCCTGTAAAGGCCTATAACATATAAAGTTATCTGTGTTACCTGCCCTTATCACGCATTCGGTACGCGTGTAATAAGGGCAGATAAAATTCCGGCAAAGTCTTTTATCCGGAGAATGCTGATACTGTATCCGGGGGAATAAGCCTGATAAGGCTTATCCCCTCGGATATCTTTTTTTTTCCATTTTTGCCCTATCCCCTCTTGCGCACAGGGGGGCCAGCCGTCGCTTGCGCAGCGACGGCCCTTGCACCCAGGCCCCCACCGGGGACTTGCACAAGCCCGTCGGGGCCCTGCGCTAACGGCGCAGCTCGCAGGCAGGCCCCCCACCGGGGGCCTATGCGAGCGGCGGGGCTAGCGCAGGCACCCCACCGAGGCCTTGTGCCGCTCACGCAGGCTTGCGTGAGCGGCGAGTGCCTGCCCGAATAGGAGTTTGGCCGGGGCCGCCTGCAAGCGCAGGTGTTGGCTGGCGCTCGTGCAGGCCGGGGCTCTTTTTTTTTTTTTAAACAGGGTTATTTTGGGAAAATAAAATTTTATCCTATTTCTTATCCTGTTGGATAGATACATAACTGAACATGTGATAAGTGGTAAAATACTATGCGGACAGGATAAATTTTATCCTGCCTGCCCTATCACACTTATCCTATTTCTCAAAGCAAACGTGCCCTTAGGGGGCGTTCGGATGGGGAGATAGGATATAGAGGGATAAGATATAACAGGATAAAAGTTATCAGGGGATAAATTTTATTACATGTTTGATTGAATAGATAATAAATGAGATAAAATTTTGGAAAAGTAGGATAAAAGTGAAATTTACCAAAATGCCCTTTTTTATACAAATTAAAAAAAAACAGATCTGGGTTTAGAAAAAAAACAAACCCAGATCCGGTCTAAGAAAACAAACCAGACGGTTATAAAAAAAAAAGACAAATCCTGTCCTGTGTCTTTTGGATCGAGTCGTCGTCTTTGCAGACAATCGAATCATCATCCTCCCTCGTCCAGTCATCGTCACAGATTGGCAGAGGTCGGCAGACAACTTCAACAGCACTCATGGCCCGATCCGATCCAGCAGAAGTCGGCAGACAGCTTCGATGATGCTTGTGGCCTGATTCAATCGCGCCTGACAGAGGTCCAGAATGCTGTCGTTTACCGATGCGGACTAGTAGTCCGAGCTTGCGAGTCGTCTGACGATGCCGGCGTGGTTGATCGGCCCTGACAGAGCTCCAAACGTTGCCTTCCAGACTCGAGCTTGATAGAGCTCTGGACGATGCCGACGAGATCGATTGGGCCCCTTCCAGACGTCGTCTCCTTCCAGCCAGTTGGCCTCCTCTACTCCGACTGCCTCTGGTTTCAATTGGGGGCATTATCATCCGTGGACGAGATGTATCAGGGGGGATAAAATTTATCTCCCCCAAAACTAAGAGATAAAATTATCCCTCGGTTTCAGATACATATCTATCCAGATTCGTTACACCCGAATCAAACGCATGTAATGGTAGATAAAATTTCTCTTCTCAGCCTATATCAACGAAGCCTATATCAACGAACTGAATGCCCTCTTAGTTGTAAATTGCAATGGCTCTTTTATCCAAAGAATTAAAATTATTTTTAATTATAGTATGTCTTAAATTTTATTATTAGAACAAGAGAAATTGCCATATTTTGGTAACAAACTGACGGTGAACGTACGGAAAAAAAAACTTGGGGTCTCATCAACCCACCGTACTCGCCACGACAAAAAATCACATCAGTCTTCATCCTAGACGTAGTAGACGCGCATACCTGAAGTTGAGGGGCACCTGAGCAAAAGACATGCCTGAAATTTAATCCAAATAGAATTAAATAAAAAATCAGGGGCAGTCCCGTAATCATACGCCTGAAAAGCATGACATGCTAACTTGGCCTTAAAGTGAAGGAGTTGTTAGTTGTATAATAATGGCTTTCCCTGGCTCCAATCGAAAACCCGAAATCCCACCTGTCTCTCCGTTTCGCCCCCAAATGTTGTCTTATTAACATTCTCTGCCCCTACTCCTCCGACACCTCCTCACCGCCGAGTCTCTCGCCGTCGGCGACTCCTCTTCGAACTCTCTCTCTCTAGGTCTCTCCTTTTCTCTCCATAGGCTTCGGTTTCTCCTCATCGACAATGCTAGTCTCTCCGAACTGAACGCTTTCATTTTCGGAACAGCTATGCGTCGACACAACACACACGATATATAGTATTGTATACGTACACACTCGAATTTTCTCTCTCTAGGTTTAAGCATCATTATGCCAGTTCGAGACTGGAAGAATGAACTGCCGGGTCACGGGAGAACATGAAAAGCCGCTTGCTTTTTGACCAGTCCCGCCTCGAATTTGAAGGCATTCGAGCTTGATTTGTGATAGAGCTGTTGATTTTAAACTTGGAGGGAGATAATGAAGCTTAAGGTGCGTGGATGTTTGTTATCGCAGTAGTGGATTTAGGAACTAGGGTTTTAAGCTGATCGTTAGGTGGCTGTGCTTGTTTGTGTGTTTGGTGGAGTTAAGGATTTGGTGATGAATCGAAGTTTTAGGGCTCACGAGTCGCAAATGCAGACCTCCCTGAAGCCGAGGCAACAGGTAGGGCGTCTGAGGACGTCGATAATAAAGGAGAAGGAAGAGGAGCTGGCGCTGTTTCTCGAGATGCGAAAACGCGAGAAAGAACGGGATGATCTTCTCCTTCAGAACCCAGAAGAGTTTGATGCTTCTCATGGTACGAACTTGTTTGGTCTCAATTCATTCGATTGTTTAATTATGTTATTCATTTTAATATAACAATTATTTGTTGATTAGGTGAATCTATCATCGATTTGGGTTTGAATTTTTGGAAATTTTTTACGTTGTTGATATACTCTTCTACTTCATAATTTAAAAATACAACTGGGACTTTTGAGGGGCCTTGCTTTATTTTTAATATGTGGAATATCAAGAACTACTGTCTAATTTATATGAAAATTTATGCTTCTTGGCTGATTATGCTTTGAAAATCGAGGCCGTATTTTTCTTATTGTTGCCACTTGCAGGACTGAAACGGGGTACTTCTCCCATATTTAATAATGCATCATCCACACCGGCAAGGAAGACTGTTACTGATGATTTTCTGAACTCTGACAGTGATAAGAACGACTATGACTGGTAATATGGTGGCGTCCCTTTTTTTTTAATTTTGAATAATTATCTTTCTTTAATGTTATATTTTTTCTATAATTATTTTTGAAGTTATTATATTCATGTTTTAAGACTTCGGCTGAGAAAAGGCTAATTACATTTACAGTTCCCACATGGCAAACACTTGCTCTTTGGAAGGCTGTTATATTTGTTAATATTTATTACATTTTTAATTTTAGCTTTTTTCTTTTTTCATTCTAGTCAGTCAAAGAGCTTGAACAACGGAGATGTAATTAAAAAACAAAATTATAGATGTTAACTTCTCCCATTGCCTTGTCAGAAGCCCATTTGTTGACATTACAGCTGATAAATCCTGATAAATTGGCTTTATACAGCTGATTAATCCATACACTTTCTCCATACTGGCTCTAAATTGCTGTACCAATTCTTTGCCTGTAAACAATGCATTGAGGTTTCCTGATTTCTCGAATCTAGTTACTATGGAATAACAGTTGCTATACGTTTGTTCCGGTGTTGATACTGGCTGAGCAAATCCTGATGTTGTTCTTGTTCGTAGCCCATTTCCTATATATAGAATGTTGAAAAGGATTTCTACTATATAGGGTTCATACATAGAGATATCAGGTGGCATAGGTACACAAAATGGTTCTTTTCATACGTATACATGTAAATGTCCTTGTCTTGTCATGCCATTTATTTTCATCATTATATTAATTTTTAGAACTTTAGTGTCAGTTTATTCTTACTTGGACTTCTTAGTCTCAGATGAAACGGGTTAATTTTTTGCATCTTAATGTGAGAGAGGTTAAGGCACATGTAATTTAAGCTGGTATTGACTCCAATATTTACATTTACTTTCAGGCTTCTAACACCTCCCGGTACTCCTTTATTTCCTTCTTTGGAAATGGAATCACAGAAAACTGTTAAGAGTGAGATTGAAACTCTGAAGGTTCATCCAAGTGTACTGAAATCTAGAGTAAGATTGATATTCAAACTCTTGTTCTATGTAGCAGCCTTTAGTTTGATGTTAATGGATTCTACTGATAAAAATTTGATAGAAACATAATAAGTTGTTATTTCTTAAGATAGAAAGTAGAGTTGCAAAATTTAGCATCTGGTAAGTGTATGCAAAATGAAGTTGTTTGTATCAATATACTGGCCTTTATTTGTTGATGTACTTGATGATAATAGTATAGAACCAAATCGTTCATAGAGTTTTTGTGCATAATTTATCTTGAACTGAAAGTAGATTTTGATTTTAGGATTTGGTAAAATTATTATAAAAAGGCATTGTAAACCGCAGAGCACCTCTCGCCCTCAACATAATATGCATGTATACAGAAGACCACTTCTCTGGTAATTAAGTATAGAAAATAATTGCCAGGTTACACAGCCTGTCTAAATCTCACAAACCATTCCCCAAAATGGTATTATTTGAAATTTGCAGTTTATCATTATTATCTTGCGTAGCACATAATTACCCATCTTAGTGCCAGAAGCCTGGTTGTTACTACAGATTTCCAACTTAAAGACTGTTAAGATTGTAAATTTAGGGAATTTATTTAACATTCCTTTTGCATGTCTGCCAAGATTCTTTGTGGAATGTCTGAATGGTGAAATATTGCTTCCCAAAATATTTTTCCTTTTCCCTTGTGGCAAATGGAATTTATATTTATATGGAATATGAACATTTGCAAGTAAGGAATATTATATTCATTTGCACATAAAGAAACTGATAACCATAGAAAGAGAACTTAATGCTTATGCAGGTTTTTCCCTGCACAAAGAGAGGAAGAAAAAATTGCCTCTTTTAGGAGAAGTTTCCTTTTATCTCCCCTCTTTTGCTGTTGCTTAAGTAGATGACAAAAGGAGTTACATTAATTTTTGTGGAGTACATACAGAACTCCTTCCTTTTGTTTTTGTCCTCCTTTCCTGTTTCCTGTATTTAACACAAACTAAGAACCTAACTTGAAGCTTGTCATTTGCATCCTGAGGGTATAGGCATATACAAAATGCTGAAAAACGCTGAATACTAAACTCAAACCGTGACATAAGCAATTAGATGCTATCATAAACTACGGATTACATTTAACTTTGAGAAACTCAGGAGGCTTTAAAAGCATGGGAACCTTTCATGTCTAAGTTCTTCATCCAAAACTAGATAATGTTTAGTAAAACATCATAATTTCTGGAAATGATTTCAACTTTGGAGTACTTGGGCAGCCTGAATTCAAGATCTCATATTAACTTACTGTTTGTTTCATATGACTTAACTGGGAAATTCCCAGCCAGACCCTGCTGCTAGGGGCAACTTAGCTTTGAGACAGCCTGTTTCATCCCCAGGCACTTCAAGCGCTGGAATTTGCAGGCCCTCACAATCGGGTGGTACAGGATCAAGACCTGCAACACCAACTGGACGCACTGCATTGAACTCAGCATCCAAGTCCACACCGAGCACAGGAGCCAAATGCATATTGACTATGGCAACCAAACCGTCATCAATGACCATGTCTAATCCTAAAAGGTCTTCAACACCTACATCTAGGGCTATGTTGTCTTCAACTAAACCCACTGTTCCAGCAAGATCCACTACACCATCATCAAGGACTGCTGCAAGATCCTCAACACCAACTTCTCGACCGACTTTATCTGCTTCTAAGCCCACATCAAGGGCAGCAACACCAACTCGAAGACCTGCTGTGTCGTCAAACTTAACAAATACATCTGCTTCTCCAGTTAAGTCTCCTTCTTCCTCAGTTGTCAAGCCAGCTTCCACCACAAGGAATCCAGCTCCATCACGTGCTAGTTCTCCAACAGTGAAACCAAGACCATGGAAACCTTCAGAGATGCCAGGTTTCTCTATGAATGCACCACCAAATTTGCGGACCTCCCTCCCTGATAGGCCACTTTTAAACAGTAGGGGCAGGCCTGGAGCTTCCAGTGTTCGTTCTTCTTCAGTTGAGCCTGTTTCTAATGGGAGAGTCAGACGGCAATCCTGCTCTCCTGCAAGAGGTCGACCCCCCAATGGCTTAATTCATAGCAGTGGAAGTTCTGTCCCTGCATTAAGTCGGTTATATGCAAAGGCTAATGACAATGTTAGTCCTGTTTTGATTGGAACGAAGATGGTCGAAAGAGTAATAAATATGCGGAAGCTGGCACCACCAAAGCAGGATGACAAACATTCCCCTTGCAGTAACTTATCTGGCAAGTCTTCATCCCCTGATAGCTCAGGCTTTGGAAGAACACTCTCAAAGAAATCCTTGGATATGGCAATAAGGCATATGGTATGTTTCTGTCTCCTTTTTACTTCTGTTCCCAATGGTGCTTCTGGAAATTATGAACTCATAATTTGTCTTTTTTTTTCATTGTCTTATGCATTGTTTAGGAACCTAGAGAGAAAGGAAAGAAAAGAAAGGATAGGGATGCTAAAAGATTATGATGTTTCTCCTTGTTTGGATAATTGGAGAGAAATGTCGAGAATGTTATGACATGACCTTCATTTTTTTAATTTTCTTCTTTCTATATTCAGTTGTGAGTTGTGTAGTTTTGGCACTGTAAAATTCTAAGTAAAGAACAATAGCCTTTTCTCTCTATATCTCTTCAATTTGGGAGGGATTCAAAGTAAGGTTTGCAAGGCATTTAAAATTTTCTCTGTTCATTTTCTCTGATTTCTCTTATGAAACCTAATTCTAATGAGTGATCTGGAAGGAAGGAGTTCTATCTCTTTTCTTTTCTTCTTTCTCCAATTCAGTCAATCTAAAAAACCTATTAAACATCACAACTTAGCAATCTAATATATGGCAAAAATGGGAGACTCATGGACAGGAATGGGATCCAGGGCCTTTCACTGACCATCTTTTCTTGAGCAGGATATAAGGCGGAGCATTCCAGGAAATTTAAGACCGTCAATGACAAATGTACCAGCTTCTTCTATGTATAGCGTGAGATCAGGGCCTACACGGAACAGAACAGTTAGTGTATCAGATTCCACTCTTGCTACTAGCAGCAATGCTAGTTCTGAGGTGAGTGTCAACAACAATGGGCTGTGTATAGATGGAAATGAAATGGAGGATGTTTTCAGCAGTAACAAAGGTGCTCCATTCCCTGCCAGTGTACGGGGTAGCTGACAAATTGGGGCCCGGCCCTGAGAGTGGGACCTCTATCCTATGATATATATTTACAGCTCTTTGTTATCCACTTGTAATTTTATCCTGAATCTGTCAGTATGAGAATTACAGAATTGCTTGAAAGCACACTGACGGTTCACCAGGCATTTATGATTGTGTAAAGTTGAACGGATTGATTAGCCGAGTTCATACTATTTCTTTTGCTGTTAGTAGCATCTAATCTGCTGACATCCAACCAAACTCTTGCATTGGGGATACCCGGCAGTTTTTTTTCTAGATACACTAGAAATCAGAGGAGGGAAATAACATCTTGCCTCCAACCAAGCTTGAACCCTAACTTCTTACTTGAAAATTTGAAGGTGGAGAGGTGACCGTTGGACTAGAGCTCTTGGTTTCAATTAATGATTGACTAGAGCTCTTGGTTTCAATTAATGATTGTCAATACTAAGCTTCCTTTTATCGTGATCCTTCGCCTCTACAGTTTGTCATACGTTCCTTGCAAATTAGTAGCTTAATAGCTGCTGCTTATAATGGAGAACCAAAGAGATTAGTGTTTGTGGAGTGGGATAATGGGTCAGTGAGTTTCAGTATCCCATGCGATGGCATGAATTCTTGAAGCAAAGACTATGGACCCACTCTCATTTGGCTTTTCATCTGGTGTAGGATTGGGTTGTAACTTTAATTAATTGTAATAGTTAATTGAAGGTAAAGCATACTTTTTATAACTTTAAGGTGTTGAATGTGAAATTTATAATTTTAAGGTGTAAAGTGAAAAGAACTCTCTTTTTTTTTTTTTTAGGTTGGGGGGGGGGGGGGGTTGTGGTTTGGGTACGGGGGAGCCTTTAAGTTATGAAAGAAGCTGAAATCAGAATGCCTAGAAAGCTAAAGCTACGAGTGATGAAATAATTTATAATCATCGTGTCATGATGAAGTCATCTGGATGCCCACCGCGTGAGATTGCATTATCATTTCTTTTTGCTTAGAAGCAGTTTCCTGTCTCCCAGAACTGATCCACACTGTACCACTCAACCTCAACCTCCTCCGTCCACCCCCCCTGCACCACCCCACCCACAACGAAAAGAGACCAATAAGCCATGTAAATCCATCAATTATTGCACATGGTTGGACACGGGAGTGTTGTATTATTCTTGTCTATGAAAATCAGGATTTTGGAGTCTTGTCCTTGTTTGGCCAAGATTTTTTTGGGACATTATACTCTTGGTCTCTGTAATCCCATTTAAATTCTATCTTAATTTTCATTATTTCAATTGTAAAGTTTTAATATCAACATCTCCAAAGTAAGATATATTTGGTCTTGGTTTCATTTTTGCATGGAAATTCAATTTCTTTCTTCAAAATCAACTCACTAATCCCATCATTTTTTTTTTTAAAATTCTGTTCTGATTTTAATCAAAGAATAGGAGATAATTATTTTGAGGAACCTTAAAAATTCCCATAATCTCCTTGTATATATTTATTAATTTTTGTATTTAAAATTTTTTTATGTTTTAGCGAAAAATTAACATAAAATCAAATAAAATATACTTAGGGCTCATTTTGTATATTGAATTGGATAATGTTAGTAAGAGTATTATATGGATAAAGTATCTTGACCATATAGTGTTTTAAATTATTATATTATATTTGATAAATTTAACTCAAGTTTAGATAAAATATCAGATAGATAATTAAATTATCAAAGTATCATTTTATTTTTTAGTTGCAGCGGACAAAGATGGTGGGTGGCAAGTGGCGGGAACAATGGTAGCTAGTGATGGTAGGTGGCGGTAGATAGCAGTGGGTGGTGGCTAGTAATAGTGAGTGGCAAGCAGTGACAGGTGATGATTGGCAATGGCATATGATGGTAAGTGACGGCAAGTAGCGGATAGAGGCGACAGTTGGCGACAAGCACTGGTAAATAGTGGCTAGCAATAATGGATGTTGGTGGCATGATGGGCAGTAAATGGCGATAGTAGCGATGGTAGATGGCAACAACAGATGGCGTGGAAATAATAGAGGTGGTATGACCGAGAGAGACTAAATAAATTATCTCAACCTTTCTCTTATATAATTATCTAGATCTTGCTAGATAATTATCCTACTTGAACTTTTTATCAAATTTCATTATTTAGTTTATTTAATATCAGAGAAAATCAGATAACAACAGATAATTTATCTTCATCTACGGATATCTAACCCACCAAAAATTTAAAAATAAATAGGACATGATTTTCTACAATTGACCAAAATAGTTTATTCATTTTATATATTTTATTAGATGAACAGAGATTCAACCCGACATATAATCTAAAATGCGAGATCCTGTGTACCAGCCCACTGACTAAAATTACAAGAAGAAAAAAAAAATTAGGAAAAGAAAAGTTGCCTACTGATGGGTGTATTATTCATAGACGTTAAGAAATTGCAGACACAGCTTTGAAGTTTTACCATAGTTGAAGTTGAAAGTTTTGTAATTTATTTTCCATTAAAAAATAGTAATCTAGTGTAATATGAAACTAATAAACAAAAAATTAATTGAAAATGAAATGCCCATTTCTATTAAATAAATTTAACAGTAAATGTCCAATGGACCTATTTGATAATAGACTAATTTTATATATTAAATTAAATATTTTTGACATTTGATTACCTGGTATTTTATTATTTTCAAAACTTATCATTATTATTTTAAAATTTATATTTAAATTGTAAAATTTATATTAATTACAAATAATAATTGTGGCTATAAAATTTAAATAGTCATGTTTTAAAAGGTTTGAGACTTTGTTATATTATAATGATGATAATAATGGTAACATTTGCATTTTAAAAAATAATTTTCACAATTCACCGTCAAAAATTTTCTCATAACTAATTACTACTTATTTATTTATCCTTTTAGCGTTAATCCAATTCCATAATTTTATTAGAATTTGGGCTTGAGATGACGGGTGTGGGAGGAGAGAGAGTGACACTTGATAAAATCAAATATCAACATTTATAAAATGAAAATAAGCCCTCAACGTGATTTGAAACTTTGAGTGAACTGGTCTATAATAGAGGCAAAAATGAATTAAGTCAACTCACGAACAATTTATGATTTGATTCAATAATTTGTTTAATGAACCAAATTCATAAATTAAATGAGTAATACATGAGCTGCAGTTTTTGACTTACATAAAATATGAGTCAAATTATAGTTAAAAGATGTTTAACTAATTTAATTTACACATACGTGCGCGAGTTGAGCTTGTCTTCGCATATGGGTCTCTTTACACACATGTAAACGAAGATATTAGTTATATGTTTTACTTCTAAAAGACATTAGAGGGATTTCATTGGATATTGATTATATTTGACTGTCTACTAGTAATTATTTAAATACAATATTTAAATTAGTATTTTTTTATTTTTGATATATTTGCTTAAAATTTCAGAACGTATCATGTTACAGAATTTCTTAATAGGCTAATGTTAATTGTTTAATTTTATTTTTTTGAAAAACGAACTAATGTATATGATTCCAACCTATACTTAATGATCCTTTATTTGGAGTATATGCTATAGGTTGGATGTACTCTGTTATGTAGGTGTTGACACTATTTGAAAATCGGATTATTCATTGAATTAGAAAAGTTATTGTATTCATGGTTTGTTGGTCCAACCATTAATTGAATCGTGGTGTCATAATTATGTAACATATATATGTATATATATATATTGTTAAATAAATATTTTTGTAAATCATAAGGATTAGATTGAACAAATATAAAGATGCAAGGGCTCAATTGAAGAAATTTAAAGTTACGGGGACTTAGATAAATGACACAAATGTTTTCAAACCTATTTGAGAAGCTACACAACATCTAGAGGACTAAATATCAAACCAAGTGGCACTATTTATCACCCCTTTTTAAAACCCTAGTTGCTAGACTTTTGGCTGGACCTCACTCCAAGGACTTAGGAAGCTTTGTTTTGGCATTTCAAATCTCACTGAATGGCTATGGTGGAATTTCTTCTGAGATGAAATAGGTGGCCCTCTGTCCTTAGTCTTGTGACAATAACAATAGTTGGGGCTCGATAAGAAGGTTGAGGTAGAGGCCTAGGGGCTTTGATTCAGTGGAAATAGTGTGTGGTAAAGGCCCTTAACAACTTTGTCAACAAAGGCCCTTAACTGAGGTGGCATTGGCAAAAGCAAGTAGCATGGAGAGGTGACAACGACGTCTGTGAAGCCTTTAATGGGGGTGTTGGTGAAGGCAATCAATAGCTCATGGATGGAGCCCTTAATAGCATCAGCAATGGTGGCCTTTAACAGCACTGGTGGTGAAGTTAAGCAATAGTGGTAAAGCTTAATCAATTGATGATGGGGAAGGGAGGGGAGTGCTGGGCTCATTGCTTCAATTGATTGATCTAAAGAAAACAAACAAATCACAAGGAAAAACAAAAAAATCAACTCATTTGTTTCACAAGAATTTTGAATGGTTCGTGGCTCAAGTGGTCCAACTAGTAGTTTAGACAATTTTGTAAAAATAAAACAATTTTTAAAGTTACTGATTTTTGACTAAAACCAAATCGGAAAAGTGTTTGGTGTTCGATTAGTTCGACCAACCAACTTGGTTTGGTTTTTTAATTATTGGGTATTTGGTAGTTACAATATAGACTAAACTCAAAATCTTATAATAGATGAGTTACTTGAGTTATATACAGATAGATGAGTTATTTCCCCACTCCTAAATTTATTGTCCCTATCTATAACTCTTTTTAAAAAAGTTAGAGAGAAATATTAAATCTTTAATACACATTAAAATTCTAGTCTTAATTTGTTAATTGTATTCATCCAAAAAAATTTGATTTAATAATAACAATTACGACTTTATTTAATTATTATTTATTATTCAAACAATTTCGAACTAATTTGACAAGTGATATCTGAGAGTATATTATATGAATTCTAACATATCAGCCTAGAGAGGCGTGGAGATTGTGGTCAGATTTTCAAACTTTTTGACATTTCAATTTGAAGATACAATTAATTTGTTAATTGTATTCATCCAAAAATATTAATTTAATAATAACAATTACGACTTTATTTAATTATTATTTATTATTCAAACAATTTCGAATTAATTTAACTAAGTGATATGAATTCTAATATATCAGCCTAGAGAGGCGTGGAGATTGGTGGCCAGATTTTCAAACTTTCTGACATTTCAATTTGAAAATCTGAATGGAAAGACTAGAGCATTGAAGAAAGTACTCATTGAAAAGTACCGATGTGTGAATCCTAATGTGATATCTAAATTAGTAATTTTATTTTTAAATTTCTAAAATGTATTGTGTTAAAATATTTTAATAGACTAATGTTAATTATTTAATTTTATTTTTATAAAATTTATTTCTAGTGACTCTTTTATTTAAGCCATGTGCCATATGCTGTGCACACTTTGTTATGTAGATATTAATTTGTTACACTGTATGCTAACTTTAAAAATCTTACAACGAATGAAATATCCTAATTTATATATAAATGGTTAGATTTTCTTTCCACTTATGAAATAATTATTTTTATTTATATCTCTAAAAATTTAAATAAAATAATCCAGTTTCCACTAAATATTGAGTGCTAACCTCAATTTATTAGTCCGAGTTATTTGTGTAATTAATTTGATGACACTAAGTATACAATTCTTGTCTCTGTATTTGATTAGTATTTACTATCCATACTTTCAAATTAATCTTAAGGCTATATTGTATAAGTCCAACATATCAGCTTACAGGGGTGGAAAGGTGAGTGCAGATCAGGGCAGAGGTGAAAGGAGGTGGTGGGATTTTCAAACTTTTTGAAAATCAATGAATGGAAGAATTTAAAAACTAGCCCTTGAAAAGCACTCATGTGCGGAATCCCCCAATTCCGCAGATGCGAAACCCCCTGAAGTTTACTTTTCCCTCTTCCAGTGCTGTTAGTGTGGTCTGGCTGGGACACACACCCACGCTGACCTCTCACCTTCATCACCTTTCCATCTGCTGCTGCTTCCACTTCCCTACTTCTCTCTTACAGTTTACAATTACTGTTAAAATTATTGCCATTAATTCAATTTTTAACAAGCTACAAATCACAGTAGATTTGTTCTTCTTTCTCTTCTTCTTTTTTCTGTTCAATGAGTGAATTAATTTCATGAGCTTACACTTTTAAGGATTTGGCTCTCAAGGGATGTAATAAAGGTGTAAATGGGTTCGGTTTATATCAAATTAGACAAATTCAAATCCGAATCCAAATCTGAATTTGATTATTTATTTCTATATCTAAATCTAATTTGAAATTTTATGGAATCTATATATGTTAAATTATATCTGAATTTAATTAATCTCTCAATTTTCTGTTTTTTTTAATTTAGTCCTCACATTATATATAAAATTATTAATTTCAATAAAAAATGTTATTAAAATTCAGATTCAAATTTTTAACAGATTAGATTGCTAATTTCACGGCCGATCCACTTTTTATATTATGAATATTTATAATCAGATATAATCTATTCAATTTAATCAAATTCAAATAATAAAATTCAAATTGGATTCGGATTATAATATAACCTATTAACAGCTCTAGAATATAAGATATAGTTACTAGAGTAGACTTAAAGCAAATGAATTACTTATCTTATGGTAAAAGTACGAGTTGAACCAAATTAAAAGTGAGTTAAGCTTGAATTCATATTAGTTGAACTTAACCCATTTCTACTCATTTTTCGAGTTTTTAAGAAAAGAACGGCCAGTCAATTGCAGTAACTTTCTTTCATGCCGGGCTTGGCATGGGCTCATCTCATGGCAGTGATGGCTCAAGCTGAGATAATTTTTTTAAATGATTCCCTTCTAATTTTTAAGTTAATGACGTGAATATTAACTTAAACTATAAAACATAAAATTGTAGGCGTTGCCAATGCTAAGGCCTGTGGCATTCACAATTAATTTGCATAATATTCTTTTAGGAAAGTATAATTACTAAAATTAATTTTAATACCTAGATAAATCCAAAACTTAATGGATTTATTTATGAGTAAAAAATTTGATATTTTAATTTCTTACTTACAATATCATGTAACTTGATCATCATTAGAGATAGTAATGGAGTGAGTATGAGGGAAGTACCAATGTCATTGTCCTCATACGCAGTAAAATAGTCTATTTCATATTAATCTCTGTATTCAACAGTGTATTAATTTTAATTTTCATTCCCGTAACTTTTGAATAATTTTATATCTATCTGATACCCATATACCTATATGAATATAATTCATTTTTTTTTAAATTTTCTATAATCTTAAAAAATATACAATTATAATGACGAAAATATACAATAAAAAATAATAATACAACTAAAAATAATAACAAGAGGAACATTCTATTAAATTGAAGAGGAAAAAAATAAAAGGAAGAGAAAAAATATTAAAACCTGAATAATATCAGCAACAAAATGTTGAAATCACGTTCTAATTCTTTTTTCAAACCAAATACAGTTATATATTATTTAGATATTTTTTTACAGGCATCCACCGAATATGAGTAAAGTTTCCATGCCTAGATCATAGCACCAGATACTTATTAAATTATATAAATATTAATTATTATAAACTCCCTGGTCTAAAGACATCAGCTGGGGAAAATAAGAAGGTTGTGTTTGGGCTCTCTTTCTGAACGATTGGCCTCTTGTCGGGTAATTGCCCAGTGCTTTCCCAGTCTTCCAGACCTGGTCTTCAAATTATTTATATCATATCAAAGCCAACATACCCTGAGTGCCATGTCTAGTCCACAAATAATCAATTCTTTTTCTTCATGTTGTTCCAAAACACCCCTACCGTTGCATGGATTCTGAGCACAAAAATGACCTCTCTCTTTATTATGTGCCCCAAACACTTGCCCATCCCGTTTATTACTCAAATGACAAAGTGCATTCCTTGCAGTAATTCTCACCACACCATTCCTTGCTCTGCATGAAGTGAGGGAAACAACTCTCGTCTTCTTGTATAATTCTTGCAAATTGGTTTCCAGAATGAGTTTTACTGCTCTCTCTTCAGCTATCAATATCTTGGTATATATTCCTCTATGTTTCCTGAGCTTGCAGCTGCAATCTGGCACTCTAGCCACTGTAAAGGCAGGCTCTAGGATGCAAGGAAATGAGACGGATAAGTTTGCACTGCTTGCGTTCAAGGCTCAAGTAGTGGAGGACCCCTTCCAGGCTATGAGCTCGTGGAATGCTTCCACTCACTTCTGCAACTGGCTCGGTGTAACCTGTGGCTACCGCCACCAGAGGGTTACTATATTGGACTTACAGTCCATGAAGCTAGCTGGAGCCATATCTCCACACTTGGGGAACCTGAGCTTTCTCAGAGTTCTATATCTGCAGAATAATAGCTTCACTGGTGAAATCCCTCCTGAACTTGGCCGCCTGAGAAGGCTACAAGTTCTTTGGCTGCATAATAACTCCATCGGTGGTTCAATCCCAGCCAACTTATCTGGCAGCTCAAACCTTACTATCATCAATTTATCAAAAAATAACCTGGTAGGGAATATTCCTCTTGAGCTTGGAGTACTGACAAGGCTGAAAAAGATTTCAATTAATACCAACAATCTGATTGGATATCTCCCTTCCGCTCTTGGAAATCTGTCTTCTCTTCAATATCTATTTGCATATGGAAATAATTTGGTGGGAAGCATTCCCGAAGCTTTATGCCAAATAAAAAGTCTGAATGTTCTCTCAGTGTGGGAGAATAGCTTGTCGGGCACAATCCCCCCTCCACTCTTCAATCATTCTTCTATCATAGTTATTGATGTGGGAAGCAACCATATTGAAGGGACTCTTCCCTCTCAGTTGGGGCATACTTTACCCAGCCTTGAATACCTCAGCATTCGTAACAATAATTTTATTGGTCAAATTCCTGCATCAATATCAAATGCCACAAATCTGTTTGTCTTCCAGATAGCTAGAAATTGGCTTAGTGGAAAAGTTCCTACGCTGGAGAAGCTGAAAAATTTGACAAGATTTCTAGCTGCTTTTAATCAGCTTGGAACTGGGGGAGCTAATGACTTGGTCTTTTTACGCTCATTGACCAATGCCACCAACTTGGAGCTACTGGAGCTGAATTCAAACAATTTTGGAGGAGTGTTGCCAGAATCAGTTGGTAATCTCTCAACCAGTCTTCTGGAGTTGTCTCTGTCAGCGAATCACATACATGGAGAAGTCCCGGCAGGAATATGCAATCTTGTGAAATTGCAAGAACTCTATTTGGCAGACAATAACTTCGCAGGTCACATTCCACCCCAGATTGGGAGGCTTCAGAATCTTCAACGGTCGGCTTTTCTTGGGAATAATTTCGCAGGAGCCATTCCCTTATCACTGGGAAACTTGACTTTGTTGAGCATGTTCAGTTTGGCAGAAAACCAACTACATGGCAGCATCCCTGCGAGAATTGGTAAATGCCAAGCTCTGGTATATCTGGATCTTAGTCACAACAACCTCATCGGTACAATACCGAGAGAAGTGTTTGATCTCTCATCATTATCAGACTGCTTAGATCTATCCCAAAACCAGTTGACTGGTACAGTCCCCATGGAAGTGGGAAAATTGAAGAATCTTGAATACTTAAACCTTAATGGAAACATGTTAACAGGTGAAATTCCCACCACTCTTGGTAGTTGTGTAAAATTGGGGGAGCTGTACTTGCAGTCCAACTTCTTTCTGGGGACTATTCCGTCTTCTTTTAGCCTTTTGAAAGGTATTGAAGTTTTAGATCTTTCTCGCAATAACTTATCAGGTCGAATTCCAGAATACTTCAAGGATTTTCACTTGCAAAATCTAAATCTCTCCTATAATGATTTTGAGGGTGAGGTGCCAACCGGAGGCATATTTAAGAATGCTAGTGCTATTACTATCGCAGGGAACAGTAAGCTCTGTGGGGGAGTACCCGAATTACAGTTACCCAAATGTAAAACCAAAGGGTCCAAAAAGAGGTCTTCTTTAAGCTTAAAATACCTAATCTCTGCATTTTGTGGGCTTATGGGATCAATTCTGGTTCTGTGTTTTCTATACTGTTTCCGGGTTAGGAGGAAGAAGGAACTTATCTCAGCTTCACTGGAACATGAACTCCCAAGGGCGTCTTACACGGATCTTTTTAAAGCTACAGATGGGTTCTCTTCATCCAATTTGATTGGAAGAGGTAGTTTTGGAACTGTATATAGAGGAATTTTTGGTGATGGAAAAGTCATGGCAGTGAAGGTACTTGACCTCCTGCATCACGGAGCTTTCAAGAGCTTTATTGCTGAATGTGAAGCTTTGAGAAACATTAGGCATCGGAATCTTGTCAAGGTATTGACTGCTTGCTCGGGTGTTGATCTCCAGTGTAACGATTTCAAGGCATTGGTCTATGAGTTCATGTCTAATGGGAGCTTAGACGAGTGGTTACATCCAAATTTTGTAGAACGTAGTTTGAACCTTCTTCAGAGATTAAATATTGCCATTGATATTGGCTTTGCATTGGACTACCTTCATCATCACTGCCCAACACGAATAGTTCACTGTGACTTGAAGCCCAGTAATGTTCTTCTTGACTCTGAAATGACTGCACATGTAAGTGATTTTGGGTTAGCAAAATTTATTCTTGAAGGCAGTTGTAGCAATTCTACAAATCAAACAAGTTCTATTGGGATACGAGGTACTCTAGGTTATGCTGCACCAGGTATGTATGATTTTCTACCCTGTTTGGTTGCCTGGCTTTCAGGGCTTATGCGTCTGCTTTAATCCCGAATACCTAGAGCCCGCAATATCCTAACTTCTAAACCTTTTGACCAAAAAGTTGCATTGTACTATCGTGATTACAAGATTCCCATTTGTGTTAGAAGTTCGGTTCCATTTAACATTTTTTTTTTTTCTTTTTTGGTTCTCTGATATTTGATATGCACTCTATTCAAAATAAATTGTAATCTCTTTTTCCTATTCTATTTTGCATGAGAATACAGAGTATGGCATGGGAAGCGAGGTGTCAACATACGGTGATGTGTACAGCTATGGCATCCTCTTGTTGGAGATGCTTACAGGAAAAAGGCCTACCAATGAAATCTTCAATGCAAATCTGAGCCTTCATAAGTTTGCAAAGATTGGTTTGTCTGAAGGAATGGAGGGCATTGCAGATCCAGTTCTTCTTTTGCAAGGAGAGGGGAAGACGAGCAAGACCATCACTCAGAAAGACAATTGTAGTAATTCCAAGATTTTAGAGACCTTGGCTCCAGTATTTCAGATTGCAATTGCGTGTTCTCAAGAGTTGCCAAGAGACCGGCCAGATGTGGCCCATGTTGTAACTGAGCTGCAAAGGATCAAAGATGCTTATCTCAGAACCAGTAGTTAGGGTGGAAGGACTATTTCAATTTCTCCATGAGGTCAGTTAGTCAAGATGAAGCAGAGTTTTATTAATGAACTGAAAATCTTCACATGTATGCCTTATTTCAGGCCAATTGAAATAAGGCTGTTATTTTGTAATCCAATCAATGAATTTAAACACACAATTATCATTCTGGATGTACCTCTGCTACCTTCCTCTTCCTGTCCACACCATTTTAGTCTCGGGGTACGAGTAAAAGGAAGTCACAACCGAATTTTACAGGTAAGAGTCCTAATTCTGAGCATTTTTTAGTCTTTGGGGACAAGTAAAATGAAGTCACAACCTGATATTACAAGTAAGGCACTTGATTCTGAACATTGCGGTCCTTTCAAAGGATCAATGCTTGTTGAAGGTGATGCTTTGGCAATTAAACCTTACAATTCCATTGTTTTCTGGTACTTTGGACTCCTTTATTAATTAGTTTGATGGACTCATAGACCAATTCATTTATAATTAGAAATATTTGCCTGAAGATTTGCAGAAGTGATGCCCTAGCCAATTCAGAAGAACAACTTTGTTGTTTCAAGTCACAGTCCCTCCAATCCCTCCCGTAGATTGATTACTCTCAATTGCCCACGTGTATGATAATATTCATTCTTATACTAGATCCAAACTACCTACAGTGTTTTTCTTTTTCAAAAAAATAAATTACAATTATGCATAAATAAATCCACACAAATAATGACCAGGGATTTTGATACTGAAAACTTGTCTGATCATCTGCATAATAGAGAACATTGGAAAAGATTGGCCGGAGTGGGCTTCATTGGAGAATCAATTGTTGGACATCAGTATGGCAGGGGTGTTCACGGGTTCAGTTCGGTTCGGTTTTGGACCTAAACCAAACCAAATCGAATATGTTGGTTTTGGTTTTTATTGGACATGATTGTTTTTTTTTTTTCAAAAAACCGAACCGAACCAAACCGATTGACATGTTCGGTTTTTCAATTATTTTAAATTGTAAAAAAATTCAATATAAATATAAATATATATAATGCAAATATAAATATATATATAATATAATATATACAATAAATATATATAATAAATACAATATAAATAAATATATATAAATACAAATAACTATAAATATATATATATATAATATCTATATAATAGATATATTAATAAATAGAATCAGTTCGGTTCGATTTGGTTTTATTTTGAGAAAAAATCGAAATCGAACCGAACCGATTGGTTCATGGGATCTTATAACTGAATTAAACCGATTCTTTTTGATTTGTTTTGGTTTGTGGTTGGTTTGGTTTGGTTCAATCGATCTAGTTCGATTTTGAACACTCCTACAACATAGAACAGAGGGGCTTCAAGAGAACCACTCTTAGTTCCATCACACGATGGACGTAGGACAAATAATATAGGACTTATAGAGTAAATTATTCTTTTATACACCTTAATCTCACCCTTTCTCCAAGTCAGCAACTCACGATTCTAACTTTTTTTATTATTTATTTTTTGGTTTATTTTCTCCCGTAAAGGAATTAACTTCATTTGGATATACATTTCAACGTATGGAATAAATCCATCGACTCGGGGACAGTGATGTTTTGTAATACCTGATATGAGCACCAGCTTGCAATAAGTTCCTCTCTAATTCATAACTAATCGGAAATTTCATAGATTAGGCCAATTACTTCTCTATGACTTCAAGATAAACAAAAGAATAAAATTTTCCCCATTGGGGTCATTTTCCATCTTGCTGGAAGGTACCTAATTTGGTGAAGTCGAATAAGTTGGTTGTGTTAAGCATTTCATCTGATCAACTTAATTGGATATGTAGAAGCCGTTGATTTGCGTTTCCTTTCTTCTTCGATCAATTCCTATCATTCTATAAATTTTGGGCCTCAACACAAACAATTTGCGAGGCCTGTTACAAGGATGCATTGCTTAATTTCCCGAGTAAGTTTCAATGGTTGCTTCTAGGCGAGCATAAAATACTCGGAAATATTCAATTTGGACTAGCAAATCTCGTCAACTTAAAAGCTCTTACACGTCCAATTTGGTGGATTCATTGGAAACATTTCAGCCAATATTGGAAAGCTTAAAAAGCTGGGGGAGTTGATCCTCTACTACAGCGGTAAATTGTCTGGTAAAATTCCATCGTCCTTGGGAAATCTGACTTTGTCGTATGAACTCCATTTGTAAAGAAATAATCTCCAAAATTAATCAATTCTTTACAACTATTGTTGTACCAAAACATCACCACCTTGCGTGGATTTTGAGCACAGCAATTACCTTTCAATTCATTTTATATTTTGATCGCCTTCCTAAATTATTTAAATTTAAGTTATTTTATTATAATATAAGAGTTCTATATATCAACATTTTGTACTCATAATGCGTGTGAAATGTTGAATGAAATATTATAATCTTTTTATTCAAATTTTTAATATTCTCCTTATGACCCACACCTAAATAAATTTTTAAACTCATTCTAAATAGATAGCTGAAATTAAATTGTAGATTTTTTTGTCGAAATCACCAGTATCTAAAAACTTATAGAACTCTAACTAATCTAGTTTAAGTTAATTAAGATCTATGCCCCTTGATATCTGCCGGTTGAAATTGAAATTGGCTGAAAATAAAAATAGAAAATAGCCTAAAAATGATGGCATCCTATCCTAGCTGTGAAATTACTCCTTGTTGTACAGATGATGGCTACCATACCTGTATCTCAACAAAAACTTAATTGGTTATGACACAGATTGAAACTATACCCAAGGGGGAAATTGATGTAAAATTTTCTTGTTCTACTATGTGGTCATGCATGAATTGGATACTTTGGGGAAGGATTTGATTAATTATAGGTGAGTTCATAAATAATTCTGAAAGTTTCCGTGCTTGGATTGTCTTTCTGAATTGCTGCTGCTGTTCTGTAAATGCGGTGTGCCTTGTGCTACCAGCTAGTTCATCAAAATTTGCCTGGCATGGTCAGATGTGACTTGTTAAATTATATATTGACATGACTTCAAAGACTAAGTCTAAAATTAATTGTTTGTGTGATTGCAGCCGGCTGATTGTAAATGGTCCCTCTCTTTCTACACTAAGCCAATCTATTTAAAATTTAAATAAACACCGATCTTTTTCTTGTAAAAGTCTCCGAAATGTAATTTGGTTTTATCTTGTAAGGAACCGAGAACCACAAATTCTTATATTTTGTTGAAATCAAATTACTAAATCAAAATATTTAAATTGTTTATAAAATAATTCTGCTAACAATTTTTGTATTTTACAGTATCTCAAACTTATTATTTAATATAAGTGGAACGTTACTAAAAACAAAATATAAGTTCTACTTGAATGGTAACGTGCTTACTTTGTTGCAGAGAAGATTATTTTTTTTAAAAAATAAATTTCACCAAATCTAGATAATCTCGACTCACGCTATTATGCAGAACACATTGCTATTCCCCATACCAGAGTCAAATAAAGTAGATTTTTCTCCTTGGACAAGTGGAAATTATACTCTTGGTCTCTGCAATCCCATTTAAATTCTATCTTAATTTTCATTATTTCAATTGTAAAGTTTTAATATCAACATCTTCAAAGTAAGATATATTTGGTCTTGGTTTCATTTTTGCATGGAAATTCAATTTCTTTCTTCAAAATCAACTCACTAATCCCATCATTTTTTTTATAAATTCTGTTCTGATTTTAATCAAAGAATAAGAGATAATTATTTTGAGTAATCTTAAAAATTCCCATAATCTCCTTGTATATATTTATTAATTTCTATGTTTAAAAAAATTTAGACTTCTTAGCTAAAATTAACATAAAACCAAATAAAATATATTTAGGACTTGTTTGGTATGTTGAATTAGATAATGTAAGATAGGGTATTATATGGATGAAATCTCTTGACAATAAAGTATTTTAAATTGTTATATTATATTTGATAAATGTAACTCAAGTTTAGATAAAATATCAAACAGATAATTATGTTACCAAAGTGTCATTTTATCTTTGAGTGGCAGTAGACAAAGATGGTGGGTGACGAGTGGTGGGAACGATGGTAGCTAGTAATGGCAAGTGGCGGTAGGTAGCAGCAGGTGGTGGCCAATGACAGAGAGTGGCGGGCAGTGACGGACAATGGCCGACAGTGGCATATGGTAGTTGGTGATGACAAGTAGCGGGCAGAGGTGATGGTTGGTGGCAAGCATTGGTAGATGGTGGCTAGTAATGATGGGTGTTGGTAGCATGATGGACAGTAAACAACAGCAGCGGTGGTGGTGGTGGATTGTCACGCCCCAAACCCCGAGCCTGTGACTGGCACTGGGATCCACCGACCCCAGTAAGTCTCAACAAAACCAGTCGAACTCCAAAGATATAAGACATACACAAAGTGCAATAATATAACATCCAAAATCCACCCGGGATCCTGTCTGAGAGTACAAGGAAGCTATTTTAGAATACAATCGGGTAAAGTACAAAAAAGAAATGCCCGTACATCCATCAAGTCCGCTGTCGTCAACTCCCAAGCTGGCACGCTAATCGAGGAAGGTACAGTCAAACGAATCTGGAATTGTTTAAAACTATGAGTCGCGAAACTCAGTGAGTACGGATGATACCTAATCTATACATATCAAGATATATATCATGCCACAAGTCCAAAAACCATACACATACAGTAATTAGTAAAACATAACAACATACACTCAAGAATACCAGCAATCAAACATCACATCACAGCACCTCACGTCACAGCACTGGACCCAGGCCTACTTACCACTAGATGCTATGGGTCACCGTACTCCAGCCGAGTTCCTAGCATCGCAATCACCTCGCACAACCCAGGCCGACTCACCACTGGATGCTGCGGATTACCGCACTCTAGCCGAGTTCCTGCCGTCCCCAAATCCCATAACTGGACTCAGGCCACTCACCACTGGACGATACAAATCACCGTACTCCAGCCGAGTTCCTGCCATCCCTCAAATCACATCCCATCA